ACAAAATTTAACAGTAAGGCAATTCTCTATTTGGGAGTGCAATGTTTATTTTCCATATATTTAGCATAATTCAGGTCACTGTATTTTGCTCTCTTATCATATCTCATGTAAAATTCGTTTCGTAATTGATAATTACATCATCTGATACAAAGGACAATTAGATTTATCAGGCAATAGCCTCTCACTATTAATTCATTATATCGAGGGTCAATAGTAATTAGGCTACAATTTGAAAAATTTATAGGTCTACAACCTATAAATTTTCACTGTCGTCTGTTTATCTGTCCTTCCTTAATCTCGAGAACAGAGATACTGTACATGAAAGTCAAGACCAAATATAGAAAGGTAAGGGGAAGAAGCCCCGATTAACTATATATGAACTTCCGATGCAAACTGAATGTCATGTTATTTTAATTCAAAAAATTTTCCCTGAAATGAGTTAGAAAAAATGGGCTGCACGACTCCATTACTAACAGAAAAGTATGATGTACTGTACAGGGGCAAGCCACTACTAATTTGAGGTGGAGAGTATATATTTTAGATCAAATACATTGAAAATATGATTAATTAATTTAAAAAATGCAGCTCGGAATTGTGATGATGTCACAATAAATAATTGCTAGTTGTCTGTATTTGATTAACATTCAAAAAACTAATTTCAATAATTTCAAAATATCTATTAACAGTTACTTATTTGATTTTGGAGGATTTCATAGAAATTAGTAGCTGGATAACAGAAGGACAATGTAAATCTGATACCTAATACTAAAATTCTTGATACCTATAAAAAATATACAATCCGTTGATTTAATCTTAATCTTCCCTACCCGCTACAATTGCAATACCCCATATTTGAATTTATATTTTGTTATTAATAGTCAATTGGCTATGATGACTGTATCAATTTAAAAACTTACATGTATAGTTTATCTTATCCAATTATTTTTTCCTGTTTTGTAAATTTTTTGCAATACTGTGATGCAAAAATCAAATAAATATTGCTAAAATTTAGCAATTTTGGGTTCCACTCTATTAATCACAAATTATGCGTAACTGTATCTTTTATAGACGATAATATTCAAAGACTCGAACACAAGGAACTTTATACCATTTTATGTAATCAAATTGGTTGGAAAAATGAACAAAGGTAATGTTTGTTATCTTAAAAAAAAAAACTTGTTTTAAATTTAAAAGAATTTGAAATTTAAAATAACATCTGCAAACTATATCGAGTTGCATAGGTATGTTAATATGTAATTTCTTTTAATATTACATAAATATTAGATATTAAATGTGTAATTTAATAAGTCTTTTATGAAAGCTTTGTACCTGTACATTGTGGAAAACATATTAGTGTGAATTCCATTATGATTTATATCTGAATTATTTTCATTAGGATATTAATCATTTATGCAAAAAGTAAACAGCTCTATTCATTTTATTTTTACTTTGGTTTACCGCTGAGATCTATAAGAATTATGGATCCTTGAGAAATTTTGTCTTTATATTGGAGATTTCACTGAGGTTCTGCACGAGGGTGGCCATAATAAGCATCCATAGTGGATCGCGTATCCTCCTGCTTCCTTCGTGGTTGCTCATATCTGATTACTTTTTATATATTATTTTATTTATGAAATTGATTGAAACGAATATATGAATATATTTCTCTAAATCGGAGTTTAATTAGTCTTCTATAGTAAGAGTATATATCTGTTAACTATATTATTACATTTCATAATTGATGAAATGCATACCAGAAGTGTTATCATTTGTACTTTGTAACAGTTTACTAAATAATGTAGCTGACAAATGTAACATATTCTTCGTGCAATTTATTCATTTATTTGTAAGAAATGTCTTCAATTAGCAATTTCTTTGTTATGTAATTGGGGAGAAGCTAATTATAATTACTTCAGACGTTCTATTCTTATTAGAACGTAGGCCTATATTAAAACAAAAGACAAACTGATATGTGAAGTTCAGCTGAGCAAAAATAATGAAGCAGTAAATAAATAACATATTTAAATAAAAATAAAATTTAAACAATTTAAAAGGATGCTTAAAATGTTTTTGAACAGGGCTTCTTTCTAACCTAGAGAGAGTCACATCCTTTACTATTTTAAAGACCTTCAGTATACAGTATTAACAAAAAAAGCGTAAAAAATCGCATTTTTTTAAATAATAAATTTGATAAGAAATAAGGGTTTTTAATATTTAGCTGTTTTCGGACTTCTTGGCTTGGCTCTATTGTGCTCTCTTGCCAAAGACCCCTTTTGTCTGCTGGCCCCAAATGCTCTCTTTGATTGGATCTATCTTGAATAAGAAAGCACAAGAAAAATTCTTATTCTGACCTTTGTGTCTTTCGTTTATTGCAAAGAAATTCAAGATATGTTGTCACATTACAGAGATATCTCCGATAGTTTTCTACATTATCTTGTAAAGGATTTAAGATATATAAAGTTTGATGCTTTCATGCAATAAAAACCATTCGGTGTAAGAGATAATTTATAAAACTGAATTTTTTTTAAGTTATTACACAGAAATTTTATACTATTAAATAAACGTCTTTAACAAGTTGAAATTGAGAGAAATTTAATATATCAAAGTATGGTCTTAAAAAGAAATAATTTTAAAGACAGGAAATTTTTAAAATATTTTTGTGTATAAAATTCCCTTTTTTTATTTAAAGTTTGTAATTTGACTCCTCTTTTAAATAGTTTTCACGTTTATATGTTCGATTTAGTTTGATGACAAAATGCACGTGAAATCAATACAAGCTTTAATAATAAGGACTTTGATAGTATTTAAATGAATTATGTATGTTTTGTAAATATTTTCACGAAATCATACAAAAACCAAAGTTAGTAATGAAAATAAAAGCCGATATATATATAAAACATTACTTTTATTAATAAAATTTATTAAAACAAATTTTTAAATGTTATTTATTAAACTTTTGTGTAACTAGAATCAAATAGCCTACAGATGAATCAGAGCCATCGAGCCATTTAGCACCATTCTATCTGGATACCGACACAAGTCCAAAAATTTATTTATTATTTATTTTTTTACGTGATACGAAAATGGTGTAAATAAGTTTATTTTGATAAATAGAAAAAAATTGTATTTATCTTATTGATTTTATTCGTATATTTATATGGTTTCTAGAGAGGAGTAAACCCTATACTTGTAACTAGTTAACCCTATTTTACTTCTCCCAAGTCTCAGATTTATAGACTTACATAAAAACACAGAAAAATATTTTTAAAAAATTTACGAAATTAGAATATATTTTTCCAGTATTTTTAACATTATAATTTGTTTATTATTATTTTTAAATCAAACGATCGAAATACAATATATTATTTTCAATGGATGAACATATTCAAAACATCATAACTAGGGTTGGACGGTGTACACCGTACTCTATATAATTCTTTCCATTTTAATAACCGAAGTAACGTCTTACAAGTAATTGTCCGTTTTCTATTTTTAATACCAATTTCAAACGTTGAAGAAAACAGTGTAAAAAAGTCATATAAGCCTATTCTATAAAAGTTTATGATTACAGTTTTAATCTCTTTTATTATTTAAATATTGAAATCTACTGTAAACTTCTATAATAGAAATTATATTCTAATTTATTTATGCAATATTTAGCGTTTATATAAAATAAATATTACAAAAAATATCTAAACATTTATACAACTAAACTGCTAGTTTGCTAAAGAAAAAATATAGTTAATACATTGAAAAATTTTAATAGTATCTATCGTACAAAGTATATTTATGTTACTTGCTTGATAGTATCTTCAATTTTTCTTCCCATAAATTGAAGGTAACTTACTTTTTTCCCATAAGAATTGTCTGGAAAATGTTTATAATCACGTGCTGCTTAAAGATAATTAATTGTAAGTGGGCTCAATTGGGTTTCTGAAGGAATGTAATTCGAGATAAAATATATCTTAAAAATGCTAAGAATATATATTTGATTTTTTTTAAATATAAATATTTAAAAAACTGTCACAAAGACGTCTTTCAGAATATCCTTTAAACAAAAACATGTGGATTATTAATTTGCTTTCATTCCGTTTTTGAATATTACTTTTCTATTACATATTGAAATATAAAAAGAGTAGCAAAAAGTTAGAGTTTGAATTTTTATGGTCTTTTTGACCATAAAAAATTCAAAACAAGCTTCTTGGAACCTAACGATAAACAAGTGTGTATTTCAGTTTTTTTTTTTTACTAGTCTACACAAAAATAGAAGACTGTGGTAAATCTTCAATGAAAAACTTGTACATAATTTAAGTTTATTTATTTATTTACTACTTTATTGCAAAGTTATAAGACAATGATTGCCCCCAAAACAATAATAACCAACAACACCGATTAAAAGTAAAAACAGGTAAAAATTACGAACAAAAATTAAAGAGAGAAATCAAATAAGAAAAATTCATCGATAAATAAATCGAGAAATTAATTTTTATGGTTTCAGTTAAAGATTATTTTAATTAAATTTTCTGTGATAATTTATTTAATTCAATGTGACGCTATCATAGATCATAATAGGATATGCACTGAATCAAATGAAAACCGTTATAACATTAAAAATAAAACATTTACAGATAACTTTCATTCAAGTACTGTAGATTGGAAACGCAAACCAATTAAAATTTAGTTTTTTTTTTTTTTTTTTTAAACTCTCAGTCCTGTGGACATTAAAATCTTTTATAGCATGTCCATTATGGGTTCGGCCAGACACATAATGGGATCGGGTGATGCGGAATGGGGTCAAATTTACAGTTAAACATTTATATCATTTGAATTGTTTTAAAAGGTTTTCAGCAGATCATTTGACCCATGCTCCAACATATACTATTACCGGGACTATTACCGGGCTTTGGCCTGGGTCAAATGACCCTGCTGGATCTTTCGCTGTAAGTATATGAATATTATAAATACACTATAAAAATTAATAGTTTGTCTATTTTGTAGATATTTTTTTCCTTTAATTTTAATAGCTATTATATTTTTTTAATATTTTTTAATTTTTATATTTGTTTGATTTTAGGCATATTGTTCCTCGGATTATCAACTAGTTACATACGCACTGAAGAAGTAAGAAATTATACAAAGTTTGAATTTTTAAATATATGTTTTTATATTTTAATATGTTTGTTCATTTATAATTTACATAGTAGTTTTGAATGTTAATTTTAACAGAAAGATGAATTTAAGAGGGGAAAAAATGATGAAAGCAAAAAATAATACTGTACTGCACATTTTCATATTCTTATTTCGTTTTGTTTTTATAAGTATTGTCACAACTCCAACTTGCTTTTAATACATTTACAAGCTAGCATAAGTTCGTTTTATTACCTTTTTCGGAAAAAAGTTGAAAGTATATCGTACCATATTCCTATAGAATAGGAACAAAATCTTATTTCTTATACAAATTGATTATAGTGAACAATCTTCCTCAACAGTATATCTAACATGAAATTCCGAACCCATAGACTAGCTTGTAAGGCCAAGAAGTTAACAGTGAATTATTTGAAAAATAAATAATTTTTTAAAAAATAATTAATGCTAACAGTAAAAACGAAAGCAAAAATAAATTTAATAAACTTTAGAAAACTAATCATTCTCACTTTTATAGGTTTTATAGGTTTTGCGACAGTGAGCGGAGCGCTATGCGATAATTTAATTAATAAGTACCATGATGTTTAACAAAGGTTTATTTTATATTTGAGTGTGAAATTAATATAATATTTATTGTAATAACAATCTGGAAAACAGGGAAAAGTTTATTTATTATAGAATTTTTTGAACGATTCAGAATGTACACTTAGAAATTGAGCTGAGTTTTTTGTGTGTAAATTAATTAAGTAGCTACATTTCTGTGTATATATTGTCTACTTGAACCTTGTTCATTAATACGACTTATTATACTGGTGTAGCTTCTGATTAGCAAAGAGAGGCTTTTGACTTTTCACTAAGACGTCCTCTCTTTTCTAATCAGAAACTACACCAGTATAATAAGTCCTATTAATGAACAAGGTTCAAGTAGACAATATATGCACAAAAATGTAAAACAGCAAGGACATAGATGTAAAAAGAATTAATAAAGTAACTAATATTCACAGTTTTAGTAAATATTTCATTTTTATTTTTAAAAATAATTTGTAAATATTTAATATAACGGCATATACAAATTCGTGAGGAATTTTTATTCCACTATATAAGATATTTTTTTCTTTTTTTTATACATCACTTCCCCTCAGAACATTGTAAAAACCACATGGAAGTTAAAGAACGAAACGATATTAAAGTTTCGAAAATGTAGATCACTCTGGTGGAATAACGATCCACTTCAATCCATCCAAGATGATCTCTTGGACGATCTGAACTTCGATAATTTTTTCATAAATCTTCACTCTAATCTTTCTATTATTCCGTATTATTGAAAGTTCGTTTGGAATGAAATATACTTGCACTGATATTGCGCGAGAAAAATTGGCGCTCATTTAGCCTGTAGTTCCTATGCGATTAGACACAGATGTGACTGTCCGTGCTGCCTTGCGTCTGACATTTCGCATTCCGAACTTTAATGTATCTAACCAAGGAAGGCACGCTTCCTTGGTTAGAAGAGGAAAAAAGGAGCGTGGCTTTTCTGAGCTTTTAAACAAAATAAAGATGGCAAAAAGGTGAACCGTTTCAGCTTTTCGCGGTCACAAATCACTGTTAGGCATCTTTGGCATTATGCTAGAGTTGTAGGCCATATTCATAAGAACAAAAAACAAAAAAAAATAAAAGAAACAATGGATTCAAGAATGACCCTTTGCGTGATATAGTCCCCGAAATCTGTCTATCTGGCAATATTGGAGACCCTCAATACAATGAAGGCAAATAACATATTGGATCATGCCTTATGCCAATCGATTCACATCATGACGGAACGCATTCGTGTCGCGTCGCTTAATGCTAAATGAGTACCGAAAAATCTAATCTAATCCAACAATACATTAATTCAGTCTTGAATACAAATATGATAACTTTTTGCACTTGTTTCTTACGTTTACTTCGGACTTTTGTAACATTCTATATTATGTAATTTCAAAACTTCTAAATTAAGCCTAATTTTATATGTTGTTATATATTTATTTATTGTATTTTAGGTAACGATAAGTAGCACAGATAATTCCGTTGAAACAAGTGAGGCCATAACAGTCACTATACATAAAGAATATAATGAAACAACGGAAAACTGGTCTACAACAAATAGTTTTATGAACAATTTAACTGAAAATGTAACAAATAACGTAACAGTTTCAGAAGCAAAGGATATACATGAAACGTCTACACCAACCAATTTGTCTCCATCCTCAGAGACTTCTGTGATAACGTCAGTAAATGATACTACAATTAATTTAACATTTGAAAGTACAGAAAAGGCTACAACTATATCTTCAAACATATTTGAAACAACTACGTATAGTACACTATCCTATGACTTTACCTCAACAACCGAAGAAAATTTGTCTTCTTTATATATTAATTCAACACTTGAAAGTGTTGATACAAATAACATAACATCTGATTTAAATATATCTTACACTACCCAGTTTCCAGAAACAACAACTGAATCAGAAACAGAAACTGGTGTCAGTATTCCCGATTATAGTACTGAATCAATTGCAACTACAACACAGTCTACGAATAGCAATAATATAACAGAAAACGCTACGTTTTCTAGAGAGAAAGGAAATGAAACAACTACCGAATCGAATATAACTGAAGATATCACCACATCGGTAGAAACTATAACATTAAATCGAACAAAAAATGGATCAGAGGAAGACACAACGGTTCCTATTACCTTCGATGACACTACTGAACCATCCACATTCACATCAAAATTAACGCATGAAACTAGTACAACTGTGAGGAGTACAGTTTTTGAAGAAAGAAATGAAACGACTTTTGAAGTAACAACAAAATTATCTACAGAATTTTCACCAGATATGACACGAACGGATCAAAATGGTAGTGATTTAAGTATTTCCACCTCTGAACCTGAAACTATTACAGAAAGTGTTACTACGACAACAGAAGACTTGACTGTAAATGGAACAGAATTATCATCTACAGAATACCATGGAACGGAAACAACTACAGAAAGTGTTACTACGACAACAGAAGACTTGACTGTAAATGGAACAGAATTATCATCTACAGAATACCATGGAACGGAAACAACTACAGAAAGTGTTACTACGACAACAGAAGACTTGACTGTAAATGGAACAGAATCATCATCTACAAAATACCATGGAACGGAAACAACTACAGAAAGTGTTACTACGACAACAGAAGACTTGACTGTAAATGGAACAGAATCATCTACAAAACACAGTGAAACGGAAACAATTACAGACTCTATTACTACAGCAGAAATAACTACGGACTACATTACTACAACAGAAACATTTACAAAACTGAATATAACTGAAACTGATCGATTCCAAAATGATACTGATCAAAATATTTCAACTTCTAGTTTACTCTCAACCGAAACAAGTAGTTTATTTGACAATTTGACGACATTTGAAGACGTTTTACCAAATTCAACAGCATCAGATTTTTACTCTTCAAAAAGTCCTGGTTTGGAAATTTCAAATACTTCTGAATTAACTACAGTTTCAGTAACAGAAAAAGAAATGACGGCAACAACAATCAATTATACTGAAGTAGTAACAGATTCAACTGAACATGAGAAAAATTTAACAAATACAACAGATAAATGGGAAACCACCGAAACTGGAATTTCATTTGAAAGTAACTTAACAACCACTGAATCCGTTTCTGACAGTACTAGTGTATCGTGGCCAACAACTAAACCAGAAAGCAGAGAAAATGAAACAGAAACCGATTCCGAAATTTCAACAACTGGACTTACAACTGATTTTTCGGGGGATTCAAGTGTTTCTGGTACATACAAATTCACATTTAATTATACAGAACAAGATGATACTACTGAACAATTAAATACCACAACAGAACTTCCAACGAGCACAGTTTCCTTAACCACATATTCATCAGACGAACCTTTAACTACTACAGAAGATATGATAACAACTAAAGAAACGTTAACTGTATCATCTATTGATGTTAGTTCAAGTAATGAGAGTAGTATTACATATCTTACAACTGAAAGTATTTTTAATGAAACTTCCACCGAAAACCAGACTATTGACAGTAGTACCATTGAAACTACGCAAAATATGACAATACATATTGATATTAATAAAACAAGCACAGTTGAGAGTACTACTATACATACAATTCCAACTACATATTCAACCGAAATACAAAATGTAACCGATGAAATATCATCTGTTTCTTCTACGATATCTGAAATTCCAACAACTTTAGGTTCTAGTACAGATTCAGAAACAAAATCTAGCTTATCAACAACAGATGAAATAGAAAGTACAAAAACCGAAAATGGTAAGTAAAGCTATATAATAACTTTCTCAAATACGGTGTGGCCCAAAAGGTACTTACTACGATATGCTTTATTACAACTGAACGACGAGATGTTCAAATTTTACTCTAATATTCAAATTAGTATTTGAAGCAATTATATTACTATATTTTCAATGTGTTTGCCTTCAACTTCAACTTCAAATTTTTGCCGATTGGATAACAGCAGTGAATACGGATAATTTGGTCATAGTTTGAGCCTGAACAAAGGGCTGGCCGCAAAGAGTTTTTCGGGTTTCCTTCACCTTCAACACCTGAATAGGGGCCAGTTTCCTGGAATATATTCCCTTGGCAGATCGATCATATGTTGCGTTGTCTTATTCAATCAATCCAATCCAATCTTTGCTTTCATTATGTATTGTACTGAAAGCACTACGGAAGGGCTTGATTGATTGACAGGAATTGATTGGTCTATATAACCTCAAGATCTGAATCCTTGAGACTTCTTTTCATGGAAGATACTGTATCTAACTAATCCAAAGACTATTGAGTGTGAAATCTCTCTATTGCGAGAAACGTTATTCAAAGCGTGGTGTTCAGTTTTGGGATACGTTTGAGCATGATCAAAATTGACTTTTATGGTAAACATGTTGAATACATATGTAATATAAATGGCTTCAAAATACTGACTTGTATATTTAAACAGATCTTCTTCATAACAAAGCATAAAATTTGATACCTTTTAGGACAACCTATACTTTTTAAAGTAATAAAATTTTAATTACATTTTTCTAATTAAAATTAATTTAAATCTTTTTATTTTAACAGTTTCTACAGATCATCCTTCAACTTTAATTACATCAACTGAAGTAAATAATTTGAAATTGCAATTCTATAGATTTCGGAATTTCAATATCTCTAATTTAATTGATAATTTTTCTTTACTTTTATTAAGATTCCTATAAAAATGGAAAGGCAACTCCAAAACTTGACATTAAAAGAATTAGGAAATGTAATAACAGTTGTATTTCTTGCTTCAAATACTGAGGTTAGTGAAATTTTAATAAATTCAGTATTTTATATTATCAAATATTTTATCTAATTTATGATAAATTAAAAAATTACTTGTATTATATTTATATAATTAATATTTTATTTTATAGCTCTATTCTAATTGGAACACAACTTATGAAGAGATTTTTCAGAGTCATTTATTATCTTTTTTGGATTCATATCTTGCAGAAATGGAAAACAATAAAACAGTTAAGTTTACATTAAATTACATTTATTTTTAAAAATAGTGATGAATAACAATGTGTATAAACGGGTATAAACGTGTATTATACGAATATGGGATAAAGATGAAAGATTCAATGCGATTTTCTAATTAAAATAATACTGAAAACATCTTTATTTAATCTTTTAATCAACAGGAAAACAGTAAAACAGTTTAGATATTAACTAATTATTTATTCAATTTTTTCTTGCGAATTTTGACAATTTAAAAAATATTAAACAACATAGTCGGCGAGAAATTGCTATTAATCGAGGATTTCCAACGTATTTTGATGTTGACACCTTTCCAAACTTAGATTTAATTCTCAGAAATTTTTCTATATTATCCTGATACAAAATAAATAACATAAAACAGGAAATAAAATAAAACTTACTTTTATTAAATTTACAATTAAATTTACTTTTATTGTACTTAAAAATATAAAAAAAAAATATTATTATTTATCCATCCCAGATCTTTAATAATTTATTGATTGAGAACATTTACTATAAATTATTTGTTTTATTTTGAATTATTTTATTTAAATGAACAATATTATAAATACTAGATCATACAGAAAATTAAGTAATAAAGACAATAAATATTCAAACATTTTCAGTTACAGAAAATATTTTAATTAATGAGAAAGAGAAAGAGAGAGCGAAATTACTGTTGCGTCTTAAAATTATCATTCTGTTTTATCGTCACTTTTTATTAAATGGAAAGCATAACAAAGTTACAGAAACACTACAAAACGTATTGAAAAATATTTCGTAAAACTAAAACAAAACTTTTTACGAATATCGTAATTTATTAGAGACAAACCAGAGAGGATGGGACCATCGTCATCCTCTGATTTATTGCTAACACAAACTTCATTATTTTTTAAACAGAATGTTTTTAAAATTACCTTCTTCTCAGTAATGAAACGAATTACTAAACACATTTAACTAACCTTTAACTTCCAACTAACAAAAATTTTTAATATAAAAATTTCTGACGAATGTTTTCGACCTTGCTAAGGTCATCGACGATATTCCAAAATTGGAATGCGAAGAATTCACATGTTTTCAATATTTTTAAATAATTAAAACAAAAACATAACGTTGTAAAACAACAACAAATAAATTGGTGGTAAATATACAAATAAACCATATATAGACATAAGATATAAAATAATACAAAATAATAATAATTATTATTATTAATTTATGTCGGGTTTTTCGTTGTTTTGCATTGCCAAATGTTTTTACGAAATGTGTAATCAAATTACTTTTATTTTTTTTGATCATTACTTTAAAATTTTGTTACATTTTTGTGTCGTAAGTTTATGCAACATATTTTAAATAGTGATTAAATCAATAAAACTTATATATTGCTTATTTTATGAAGGGAATTAAAAATTTCCTCTGTGATTTCTTCTTGAGTTTGCCATTGTAATTTATACATATAAACTATTTTTCTTTTAATGCTTATTATATAATTTTTCAGGAGAAGAGCAGAAATCTGCTCGTGTAAACTTGTTGCTTTTTTAGTAAAATGCTTGTCTTTCTTTTTTACATTTGAATTATTTTATAAATAGGTAAAAAATCCTTTCTTGTTTGAAATTAATTATAGGAGTATTTAAACACTTGCAAATTTCGTACCTACGAAATTTTCAAGTATTTAAATAGTTTCAAACGTACAAGTTAGACGTTATTTGTATGTTTTCATCTATTTTATGTACTCGTATATATATTTTAATCTTTTTTATTGTTTCTCTGGGTATATTTTTTGTGAAACAGTCCTTGATTGTAGTAATTTAAAAATTTATATCTTCAACTGTTTTAAGGCAAATTCACAAAATTTTCTCTTTCGTAATGCCCTAAAGCGAATTATCTGTCTTACGTTGTTATGTATGGACGTCAAGGAAATAAATCATATCCACTGAATATTTCACGATATTTTCAAATTTCAAGACCCAAAACATCTTAAACACTGATTTTCTTGCTACCCCATACAATATCAAAATAGTAATGACATATATTTAGATAATTAACAACATTGAAAAATTACCAGTAATAATTATTACATGTTTTGATAATAGCATCATTTTTTTTGTATGTGTGTTTTAGATTAAAGAAGACGTCGTTCTCAAAGCCAAAGTACTAAGTCCAGAACACTTTAAAACTTCAAGAAGCATCGTTTACATTTCTCCTTATCCTTTAGTTAAAGCTGAACAACTTTTTATTAGTTTCTTTATTCAAGATAATTTGAAAAATGGTAATAATTTTAAATTATTTTAGATTATGTTTATATATTTTGTTTAAATTGAAACTTATTACAGAAACTGAAAGAATTATATCATCAAATATTACTATTGAAGTTATAAAAAGGCACAAGTCTGAGTTACAGAATGAAGTACGTTGCTTTTTTTTTTAATGTTACTGTAGTTTTGTGCGGATAACCCGCGGATTATCTGTGTTTAAACAGCAATTTGAAAACAGATATGAGTTATGTGGAAGTTTTATTTCCGTTCTAGCAATTTTTAAGAAGCATATACCGATGCTTGTTACACGCCGCAGCGAATTATCCGCACGAAATTACTATAATTAATTATTAACATATATAATACTTAATATATTTTTCCTTAAATTAAACTTTATAGTTAGGACTTAACATCACAGATATATTTCAAGGGGTGGCAATAGATATTGATCGTAATAACGTTACTGAGCCTCAAAAATCATTTTTAGAACAATATTCCGTATTGTTAATTACGTTTTCCGTGCTTATTGGTCTGGCTGTAGTAATTGGAATTATAGTATTTGTTTATTTATGTAACAGACATTCTGAAGAATACATTACAGATAAAGTAAGTAGTATATTATTTAATTAATTAATAATTAATTTACATTGATTCTAACGTTAACTTTATGTTTTTAAAGATAAAATTAAAAGACGATATGAGAAATTGCATTGAAATTGGAGATATGGCAAATTCAAGAGAGATTCTAAATGATGAAATGGGAGAAAAAGAAGTCTCTGGTTTAGTTAATGGAAGTGGAAATCATATAATTAAAATGGATGAAGATGTGTGGGTTGTGCCTTTCTCTGATATTCCTTTAGAAGAAAGGAATCCTCCTGATATGCAAGATACTAGACTATGATCGATATTTTTGTGATTTTTTTACTAATTGGACGAATTCGTGCATTTCTAAATGCATGGAAATTATCGAATTTCTTATTCAAAATTTTATATAAAAAAAAAATAAAATAATTTCTATATTGAAATCATAATTGACACATATTCGTTTCTATTATCAGAAACGTAAATTTTTTTTTATGAAATATGATGTGCAACTATTGTATATAAATTATGGATGTTAATACTAATTTACACAATATATATGCTTGAATTTTTAATTTGCTATTTTTTCATTAAAGATTTAAAATTCTAGAATAATTGTTTATTACTAAATAAATATTTAGTAAATTGAACAATTAGGAAATTTAATTATTGTTTAATTTTAATAAAAATGAATTATTAAAGTGATTTTTTTTTCCTAGTTCAACTATGAGCTCTCTTCAATATGTTTGCTTAATTTATATAAGAGATAATTTAAATGCAATAAAAGAATATTTCAGAAATAAAAATATAAGTGAAAGAAGTCTCTTCGAAAGATTACGTAAATATATTGTTATTAAATTTAGATATTTAAAAAATTTTTTATTAAATTATTTTAATATACAGCGCCTATTTTATGCGAATTTATGATTAACATGTGCTCATGGACATTCGATCGTTCAACTTTTTCTTGCCTGTTTCGAAATGGTATAAAAGAAATAAGCATTTCTTCTCACAATCAACCTCTCCCAATTGAAAATAAGGAAAAAGTTTTTAGTGTAAGATATTAAAATTAATAATAAATTAATATAATTATCTTTTTAAAAAATTATTTACACTAATACATTAAGTCTATTTATTTAATTTAAAAAAATAATTAAATAAATTCTTTCCAATTTTCTATATATTCTTTAAGAATCTTTCAAACATTGACACTATAAATAAAGATAAAATAAAGAATTTTAGTGTTTAAATATACTTCTTTGGTTTAATTAATGAGAATTTAACATATTTTTATTGACTGAAGAGGAATATGCAGGTAGATTCTTGAAATACACAAAAAAGTATGATACACAAGAAAAGTCAAAACTCTCCATACAAAATACATTATCTGAAGGCACCATTTGTGCTTGTGATGTGTGTGCTTACATATCATCAGATGTGTTAACATGCATTTATGTAAATATTACAACACATTTCTCTGTGATTCATAAAGTGAATTGTAACGGAGACTCGTAAATCACTGCAGAAATCTGTCATATGAAAAGTTTAAAAATAGGAAAGAATTTCTTAGAGTTGAATTTAATATAATAATATCAATAAAATTTTTATATTTTTTTAGAAAATTGTATGCATGCGTTTAACATTTACTACAATCGAATCCGAACATTTGTATAAATTAATGAGTTATCTTACCGGAGTAGTTATTTTGAATTTACGTAGAACTCAAACAAATGACGAAGTGTTGGAGGTGATAGGAAAAACATGCCTTTTATTGGAAAAGCTTGATGTTTCATCTTGTCCAATTTCAGATAAAGGAATTATTTCACTCTGCCACGGATCTTCCAACATCCAGAAAATCCGTTGCCAAAATTTGAAAGTCTTAGATGTCCATCGCACTGCAGTTACCTCGGAAGGATTAGCTTATGTACTAAAATATCTTCCTCTTTTAACAGTATTTGCAGAGAAAAACGTTCAATTAAATATGATTTACACTTTCGTCAGATTCAATTTTGATAAAAAGTTGAAGATTAGAAACGTATGTCTATCACCAGCACCTTATACGTTCGATATTTTAGAGGTTTTATTAGCAGTTCCTAATATCACATCACTGTGTCTTTATAAAATTTCCATTTCTGATGCCGATTTCATTAGTCTACCTAAATTTAAAAGTTTACAAAGTTTGTCTTTGAGTGTGAATAAACACGATAGAATGTTGACATTTGAAGGAGTAATAGGATTTCTTTTAATATCTGGAAAAAATCTGAAAATATTGAAGTTAAATAACTTTGAATACGTTAATTTATTCTTAATTGGATGTTTGTGCAAAGAACTTCAATGCCTTTATCTCTATTCGATTCGCCATCTTTATTTTAGAAAAGATAAATTAGAAGATCAGCAAACTGTACTTTTCAAGAATTTAGAATTTATGCAAATTGAAAACTTACGCGGAAATGCATGGGAAGGTTGCTATTCATCTTATTTTACTCATTGTCCAATGCTTAAAATATTAACTTTAGTATCAGTAACGAATACAGATGTAATACAGATTGCTCCCTTTTTGGAAAGAGTGGAATGTATAATTTTGCTTTTTGTTGATGACATTACTACCTGCTCAATATTCTACATTATAGAAAACCAATTTTATCTTCGCAATTTGTTTATATTCACTAGAGAGAATGTAATCAACGAAAGAGACATTCAACAAATTACGAATTACATAAGAGATAACAATATACCACTCAAATTTGCTTATTGGCCAGGAGAAAATATGAATTTAGCTGAATCCGAAGATGTATACAGCGTTAATTTGGATGAAATGCTTATTCATTGATGTACCGTATAAACTTTTTTTATTTTTTTCATAAATTTTCAAAATCGTAGAGTTTTGGTGTTTTATTTTTAATTTATGTGGCTGTATAATATCATTTAAAGCTTAATTAAAAATAATTAAGAAACCTAATCATTTTTATATTTTAAATATTTAATTAATAAATGTACGAACTTATATAGTGAAAACGGCTATCAAATGACTTATTTTGCATGCTATTGAATCAATTTAAAAATTTTGAAATGACTCACTTGTCCACGAAGTGGCTCATTTAACGATAATTTAAAGTTTTTTTTTTTTTGTGATTACTCAGGATTTATTTCTTCATAATTTGAAGTTTGGACTATTTACAAAAAGTCAAAATTAACTTTTGAGTCCATCTTTATCCTTATTACACTACCATAGAAGTAACAGTCACAAAAAATTTTTTCTGCTTTGAAGAACTCTTCTTAAAACACAGGTAAAAATTGGTAAAAAATACCAATGGTTAAAAAAAATCAAGTGTCAGCCTTTCTTTGTAGGTTTCTGACACTTTTACAATTAAAAACACAAAGAAATTCTTCACACTATCATTTTTATCTTTTTAATTTTTACCTGTGTTTTAAGAAGAGTTCTTCAAAGCAGAAAAAATTTTTTGTGACTGTTACTTCTATGGTAGTGTAATAAGGATAAAGATGTCAAAGATGTCAACTATTTACAAAAGTCAATTTTGACTTTTTGTAAATAGTCCAAACTTCAAATTATGAAGGATAATTTAAAGGTTTAAAAATCCAACAACGAGTTGCTTAACTTTCCCGGAAACATTTAAAACTGTGTGTGGCGCCATCTATTATGATATTTTATTTAAAAACTTTTTATATTTTTAATGGCAAAAAGCTTAATTTTTAGGGATGGGTTTTATAAAAAATTGTAATTGCTAATAACGAGTAAAATCGTTATTAAGTCCGACCCTATTGGAGATACGACACACGATCACCATCCCCGTCGACCTTTAACCCCAAGATTTAATGGCATCAATCCCCCTAACACACAAATCTCCCTGCAAAATTTCAGAAATTTTTCACAAAAGCACAGGAGTTATTAATTTTCAAAGAGGGTGAACAAAATCGTTTCACACACAATTACACATACACACACTAACATCCATATATACAGAAAAAAAACCTCGAAGTTTTTTGCATTTCTCGACGTTTCAAGGTCCCCTGAGTCCGAAACTGTAAAATTCTTGAGGATCATTTTTCGATCGATCACCATACTTTCCTCTGTTATATATATCAGAGCCGGGAAAGTAAAAATCGTTCCATCTTAACTTATGTGATAAAAATTGCCTATAAAATAAACCTTTCTGTGTATAAGTGAGTCATTTTATGATTATAATGTAAAAAATTATATATTCATATAAAATGATTCGCCTGTTCGACTTATTCGTGTAAAAAAATGACAAAATATTCTTTTAAAGTAAAGTTAATGGTTTATTAATTTTAATTCATGACTAACAATATCAAATTAAAGTTTTCAAAATGAATTTTCATCGAGTAGTAGTATTAAATTGAGAAAAATAATCTTCAGTGAGAGGATTTGTATACACGATTTTATTCAAATATTCCTTACGAAGTGTTTGCTCTTTGGCTAACTCATGGTTCATTAAGCACAGATTTTGATCCGTTCTTTTTTTCCGTCTGCTTAGTTCTCTTTCTTTCAGAATTGCACATCTATTTTGATGTAATATCAATTTGTCCCATTCAGCCATTTCTTGTTCTTCCATTTCTTTCTTACGCTATTTTAATTTCACAATGTAAGATTAAAACTGCTTTATAAACTTTTAAAGTTGATCAAATTACTTACCAAATCATCGATCATTTGACGTTTTTGTGTATCATAAATTAAATTTAATTGCTCTTTCGATAAACCTTTCCATCTATCTGGAATTACACGATGTGGTCCAAAAGAACTACGAGCAACTTCGGGATTTTCAGTTAACATATCGCTGTAAAATGTATTAAATATTTCTTGTAACTTCTCTTGCTCTTCCTGTAATTTTTCATGACGTTGATGCAAAATGATGTCTTCAGCCTAATATTAAACAATTTGATATTTCATTTCTAATAATAAAATGTAAATTACTGTCAAACTTCGATATAATAAGCCGATCAGTGTTTAGTGAATAAAATCATCAAACACTGGCATAATCGCGGATTTGCATATCACCAATTGATTGGCCAAATGAAGTTTTCCGAGTTTTCTTCAACACCTAAATAGGGGACAGTTTTCCATAGAAAGTCCTCTCGGGAGACACTTCTCTCGGCAGATTATCCAATTATGTTTGCCTTATTTCATTAATCCAGTTCAGTCGATATAGCGAACTTCTAAATAATGCCACCCTCATTAAACACCTTCATAGAGAATCCATTAGTATCTGTGAATTACGACTAAATGTATGATTTTGCATTGTAAACGAAATCGTTATCATCAAAACAGACTTTCAAACTTCCAGGATCGAAATTGTGTATAAACCCCATTACGAAATTTTATATATAATTTTATAAATAAATTATAATTTAAACTATTTCAGTGTAGCATCGTACTCAATTTAGTGCCAATTTCGGAGGCGAAATGGCAGTATTAAATCGAAGTTTGACATTACAGTATAGCGTCGTTTATCCGAATCAATTGGGGACTGGGATTGTTCGGATAACTTATTTTTTGGATAACCGATTATGTACGAAAAAATATCCCATGTTGAAATTTTTCTCCGTTGCGTGTCGCTTCGCATTGAATTTTCGTCGATATTAAACCTAATGTAAACTTTTTAAAATAATAATCGTGGCTATTGTATCGTTAAAAATTATTTCTTTATTTTGTACAAGCAAAATAAATATATTGAAAAATATAAAAACAAAAAAATATGCTTTAGAAGTTGATCTAGTATCAAAAACGTTCGATTCAGCATGACACACAATCCTCAGAAAAATACCACACAAAAGTGCCAGTGCTGCCAGCTAAAACACACACACCAACAAAAAAATATATTTGAGTAGCCCAAGATATAGCCAAAGATTGCAGCGCCACAGCATCAGCGAAAATTTAAATTTGCCGCTGGAATGCTTTCGGTTAACCGACGTTTCGGATAACTGACTTTCGGATAAACGACGCTCTACTGTATTATGAAATAACTTACTAATCTTTTATTGAATTCCGCTTCGTTCTTTTTCATTTGTCTTCTCGTTTCTAATTCACGCTTTCTTAATTCCATTGCTTTTAAATTTAAATCTCGAAATTGTTCGTAAAATAATCTTTCCATATTATCTTCATAATTCTTCTTAAATTTGTTTTCTTCTATTTGCTCTTCGATAATTTTACAAAATTCAAATCTTTGTTGGCGTAGTTTTTCTTTGAAATTTAAATCTTCTCCATCTAATCTATGAAAAAATATTTATATAATCAGACACAGGAGACTAAAAGACTATTTAATCCAAGCCTTCTGTTTATGAGGGCCTCGAAATTTATTATCTAAAGAAATCTAATACAATTTTAACACTGTTCCATTTGCTTAAATTTAATAAAAGTCTCAATGATTAAAGTCCGGATATATCTCGGCCTCTTCAAGACAATACTTTATTATCGATGTAGGATAAATTGTACCACACTGTTAAATCATTTGCATGGTGACGCACTGGACTGGAAGGAATACGAGCTAAGTTGTGATGAATCAATAATACCGACCAAGAAGACAAATTTCGCGTCAAACTTACCTTGTTTGACGTTTCTATAAAATAAAAATCTGATTGATAAGCAAAGCTTCTACACTCTCACACGTATGTCGGAATTCTATATCATGTATATAGCATAAAACTTAACTTATATGGTAATAATTCGGAGCAGCAATATTTGAAATTTATCTCTTCAATTGGCAAGAAAAGAACATTGAAAGAAAATTTGGTATCGTCTCATAATTTGTACCGCCATCTTTCGTCTATATTGTACAGGTACATTTTATTGTGATGAATGTAGGCCAACGTAAATGTTAATGCTAATGCTAAAAAAAATGTAAATTTGTTACTCTAATGACAATTTTCTTGTTACCAATTTTTAATTAGGCCTAATGCAATTTGTAACACTGGTGCCTGTGGAAAGTAATTTAAGTTTATATTATGCTTTAACATTATTATTAAATTGATTTTTTTTCTATGTAAAGAAAGATAAAATACGTTAATATTAATATTTATTATTATTATTAGTTTACTATGATTATCATAGAAGATCTGAAAAACGCTCAAAGTTACGAGACTGTAAGACTGTACTAACTCACTAAAAATCTTACTTTTGTATCCCTGATACACTAAGATTCGGATCATCATCAGATATTCTCGGAGGTTTATCTTTCTTCAAGCGATCTGGATCATTTAAATCATATTCTCTTCGCGTTTGAGGGTATTGATTATATATGCGATATCTATTAATTTCTTCGTTATAATTTCTGAGCTCTTTCTTTTTACGCTTCTCCAGCATCACGGCTAAGAGATCATTTTGGATCATTTCCTTTTCTGAAAATTTTAAAATAAGACTTTCATATAGAACAAATATAAATCACTTTAAAATGAAAGAAATTGAACTTACCAAATTGTTCATTTTCTAATTTTTCTGATATTTCCTTTTTATTTCTATCGCGAACTTGTTGATTTAAACTATCTAAATCCACCTAAAAAAGATTTATTTAATTTAAAAAATAAAATCAAATATTTAGACTTACAATATCATATTAAAAACCAAATTTTTATATTAAAAAATATTTAATAAATTACCCCAATCAACCTTTGTTTTGGATTAAATATCCTGGCTTTTCTTTGCCATTCTTGAATCCTTTTAAATCTAATTTTTGCTTCTTCTTTAGGATCAACCGGTATATCTAATATATTAAGCATATTATTCTGTATAAAGATAAAAACAAATCATTTAAATTGAATTCTTTTCGTGAATTTTATCGAATTTTTCAAATATAATTTAAATATTATTCTATTTTCTATTTTAACGATCTTTAAGATTTGTTTTTTTTTAAATTAAAGTGTATCTAAACTTAAATTTTACAAAATATTATAAAATTTTACCTTTCGTATTCCTTTTCCTTCTTTTCGAAACAAACGGAAGTTGTTGTTTATGTTACTATAACAACAGCATTGTTCATAATTGAACAATATTGATTATGCCCTTTGTGGGAGGAAAAATTCTATATAAAAAAAATCTAATCGCAACACTTTATTTATACTCAAATTTTTAGGTCTATTTTAATTAAAACAATGAATTCGAATATTAAAGTTATTACAGATAATATAACAATGTTTTGAAGTATTAACGCAATGTTATAATTTTTATATTGGGAAATTACAAGTGTCATTAATTGCAATATAGTATAAAATTTGTTATCATCATCATCATCATTTACTGCAGTCATTTTACAACTCAGTAATTTTAAATTATAGAATTATCGAGCTATAGAACTATATTTAAATTATAGAACTAACTATAGGAGGATACTCCTATAAAACAAATAGAACATAGTCGTATCTTTTTATTGTCTAAAATTTAATGTATCTATCTGTACACGTTTAAAGTTCTTAAAGACATATATCAGTGCGCTGAGCAGTTGTTAGTGTGTTATTGCTGATGATGGTTGAAAACATTGGAAAAAGAGCTGATTCGGTTACATCAAAATTACTGATATAGCAGAAATGACATCATTATTTATTACATTTCTACGCTAATGGCATTTTGTTCAATGCCATTAGAAGAAAAGCCATTAAGTACGACATTGTTTATAAGAAAACGAGGAAATGATTTATTTGTTTCTTCGTCTGAAAAGATATTTTCGTATGGAGGCGTCCATCTTGCGCTGACAGTACGTTATAACAAAATCCTCTTAAAGAAAGAGTTAAACTAAATGTACTTAGCATTTTATGTTTGAAAACGCTAACTCCGTTAACTTAAGTCTTAAAGTTCTTTAAGCAGTCTACAGCAGTCTAAAAAGGATATGACTTTAGTAAATGAAAGAGAATGTGATGCAACACGTTTTTCTTTTTCGTCTATTTCTTTTGTATGCGTGTATTTGAAGTTTTAAAATATTTACTACGCATGGCCTGAAGTTACTACGAAAAGTGAAGATGACAAAGGAGGTCCAGAGCAAGAAAGATTATATACAGTACAGTAATTCGAAGATTCAAGGAAGAAGTGGAATTATTATGATGGTAGATCAGTCTAATTAGCTGCAGTTTTACGAATGACCTTGTAAAATCAGCATATTAAATAGGTAGATATTGAAATTATTATAAGATTTTTGATAATCCTTCGAGCTCCATCCGATCGGTTAGATATCAATTTAGAAAAATTTGAAAACTATGTAAAAGACAGTTAAACTGTATGTTAAGCTCTAAGCGAACAGAGTTTAATTAATGATTATATTTGAATCGTGTATTCCAAGAAAGATCCAACTCTACAAGTTTCTTTTTAGAAAATAAAACTTTTTACATTTTAAGAATTAGACTAATTACTTAAACATTTAAAAAAATATACATGTTCATATTTATGATCGACATATACATGTATAACACACTCATTTTTAAAAGCAAGAAAAAAAATAATTGATAATGGAAATTTTGGGCCTGTTTTGGAATCCGACACTAACAAATAAGTTCAAAATAGATACAGATAATGCACTGATCAAAACAATTAGCGGAGCACGTGACTGCTGTAATCGAGGAGTGACAAAGAATTCTCCAACTCTTATCCCATATCACACAGATGTGCAGCAGTTTTGGATCATACAACCGACTAAAGTCAGCACAATATCCTGTATTTACTGGCAATTTAACCTAGCTGCAAAGTATGTCTTAAGATTACGAGAAATTTTTTAACTAAATTAAAAATCTTCTATGGTGTATAAATGTTTTTAGCTGAAATCCTACCTAAGTCAGTACATTACCTTAAAAGTTGGTTATTGATAAGTCACGTGATTTTCATAGACAGCATAACTTTTCATCTTTTTTCTGTATTTTATTTATTTATTTTTATTTATTTAAAGTAGTGATGTAACGAATATTCGGTTACTATTCGGTATTCGGCCTATTCGGCCTAGTTTTCGCTATTCGGCCGAATACCGAATATTTAATCACTATTCGGCCGAATACCGAATACCTAAAAACAGGACTAAGAAATAACAAAAACACAGTAAATTAATAATTTTGGTATTTAGAGTTAATGTTATCGGGTTAGTGTTGTTTGTTTATATTTATTTCTAACTTGTAACATGCACAAAATAAAAAAGAAAATAATATTAGTCACACGTATTCACAATTTATAATTACAAAGATCAGCACACGTACACACCTATTCGTTCAAGAATCGTCGCACATCTGAGGTCTGACCCTGCCTATCCTTCTTTTTAAGCGCTCTTCCCTTTCTCTTTCCTCTATCTCTCTAGTCCACGTATGCATACATCATAATAGCGCTCACGATACTTTCGATTCGTCACTTTTCCGTCATAGATTTCCAATTTTACAATTACGTGACTCAGCCTGGTGATAACGGAGAAAAAAGTCAGATAGGACGTTGATATAAGTCACAGTTATGATTTCACAGATTCGAAACAGCTTGGTAGCCCGAACGACCCAAGGCTTTCGCCTGTGCACGCTAAGTGTCTTTCATTACAAGCATTTAGCTTACCGAAGTCTATGACAACAATTGTTTGACATTGACGGCCGCGAATTTCGCGCCAATAAGCTGCCTCGACTTGTTCAATTATGTTATCAACTCAATTTCATATTTATTTTCACATTTTCACTTTGCGGTC